TCCCCACGCACCCACCTACCCCGACAAAATGACCGAGCCCCGCTCTCTTCTTTCCTCCGCCTCCTCTCTCCGCCTCCTCTCTCCGCCTGTTCTTCGCTCGCTGCTCCGACTTGTCGTCTTTAACCTTCGTCGTCTCCCCGGTTCTTCGGTCTCAGATCCCGTTCGCACGGATTGAAGTATCCATGGTCGTCATAGTACATATGGAATATATAAATGAATATACATCGCTTGTGTCCGCTGTGCCCAGGCTTGTCGGCATTATTCATGGTCATGCTATATATATATATTCTCCCTCTCTGCCTACGGCTTACCGGGCAGATCTGGTTGACGATTGTCCTCTTCTCTCTCTCTGCCTACGGTTTACTGGGCAGTTCTGTTTGTGACGATATATGTATGCAAGTATATATGTGTTTGACGATAGATAAATGCATGGCATGTCTCTGTTTCGATCTCTTCTTTCCCGTCTTTCCATCATTGTTCGTGGTCATGGCCTGTCTCTTGTGCCCAGCTCAACAGCAGGGGCGAGGTCCGACTAGCGAAAAGGATTGGATTGAATGCCTGAATCTGTACGAGTTTGCGGAGAGGTGCAGAAAATGGCGATTGATCTGCTTTTCTGCATCACTGCATAAAACACGTCCAGATTCAGGCGCCTAATCCAGTCCCGTCCCGTGGGCTATTGGGACCTCGCCCCCGTGTGAAATCCACTTGCACAGGTGGATACATGTACATATCATCAAACACAGCTGCCCGGTAACCGTAGGCAGAGAGGGAGAGGAGGACAACAAATGAGGGGCTGTGACAAACTGTTTCGTCGGAGTTTCACCCTACCTACTCAGGAGGCGGAATATATATATATTATATACATATATCTTCAAACAGAGCTATATAAAACTCCGACGAAACAGTTTGTCACAGCCCCTTGTTTGTTGTCCTCTAAGACTTCTCCCTCTCTGCCTACGGTTTACCGGGCAGCTCTGTTTGACTATAAATACACGGTGTGACGATATATATATATGTCAGGCTCTCAGTGCCCACATGCATTAATCAGTCAATGCAGCATTATCCAAAAACGGGCTGATTTTATCCATACAGGAGCTACTGACATGATGCAATTTTTTTCCATCCAAGTATTTTTTTAGACACCTCCAGACGAAGCTCTCTCTCTCTCTCTCTCTCTCTCTCTCTCTCTCTCTCTCTCTCTCTCTCTCTCTCTCT